TTTTTGATTGCCAATTCCATTCTTTTGCAGGGGCACGCCCAGGTTACCTGGCGCCACATCACCTCTTGAAAAGTCTGCTCTTTCCCTCATTGAGTGGTATGAAGCCATGTGAATAAACAGTTGGCCACACATGCAGGGGCTGATTTCTGGACTCTCAATTTTGTCCTGTCAACCTATATTGCTCTCTCTTGGCCAGGACCATGTCGTTTGGATGACTATCACTTTGTAATAAGTCTTGAAATCTGGGAATTTGTTCTTCAAAACCACTGTGGCAGGCCTCCCTGGTGGTACAGTGGTTAAAGTCTCAGCACTATCAAGCTGTCACCAGCGACTTCACCATGAGTTCAATCCCCGGCCAGGGAGCTACCCACATGGCACAGCAGAACTCTCCTGTCTCACCTGCTGCTCCCCTCAGCAGTGTATTTCAGGAGATCTGCCTGTTCTGCTCCCCACTTTGTCACTGGTGAATACTCTAACCCCCCACACCTCTGGCCTACACCCCAGTTCTTGTATGCATAAATAAATAAAAAATAAATCTTAAAAAAAAAAACCATGTGGCTCTTCAGGGCCCCTTGAATTTCCATATGAGTTTGAGGGTCAGTTTGAGGTTAGGATTCATCTTTGCTCTTTTATTCTAAGAACCATCATTTCCCTCAGTGATGTGAGATGCTACCATCATCACATACAAATTAATCTATGGATTAATTTAGGGAGGATTGCCATCCTAATGATACTACAACATCTTTCCATTTGTTTGGATCTCTGTTTTTCAATTTCTTGCAATAATGCTCTATAGTTCTCAGTAAACAAGTCTCAGACATCCTTGGTATTAAATTTGTTCCTGAGTATTTTTTCCTTTTTGATACTGTTGCAGATGGGATTGCTTTTCTTCATTTCACTTTGGATCAGGGCAGTCTTGCACTAAGGCCTGAGCAAAGAGAAGCAGAGAATGACAGTTGACAACTACAAAGGCTGAAAAGAGAGAAAAGCAGGCTCTCGAATCTGACCTACCTTGTCATTAAGCCATTCAGCAGATCAAGTATTTTGTGAAGCACAATGATGTTTGAGGTAGAATAAACTGACTCCAACCTCTGCGGAAACTCTTATCTTATTCAACTTTTACCTTGAAAAACTACTGATTGACAAGAACTGATTCCCACTTAGACACAACGTCTCCAGGAACTTGCAAAGATCATTTTCGTTCTTTGTCTTCCCTCCATGGTAACCAAGGCCAGCTTGACTGACCACCAGTTGACTAGAAGGAATATGATCTGTAACCACTCCTGGATCTTAGGCAATTCTATCCTTCCCCCCGCCCTTATCTTTCCCCTTTAAAATCCCCTTAAACAGCAGGACACAGTGTGGGCAGATACCTGATTTTGTGTGCCTTGATTTGCAAGTCTACAGCCCTAGATAAGTCTTATATTTTATTTTAGCCACATTATGCTTTTCTCAGTCAACATTTTATACAAATTGTCAGGCCAGTGTGTACTGTTGGTTAATTTGTGATGGTCCCTTCACAGGGGTTGTACCAATTTCTGTGCCCTCCAGGAATGCTTACAGCACGGGTTGTCAGCCAACATTCTGTCCAGAACAGCCCAGTCATGGAAACTGGTAGCCCTCTGGGCTTTTAATTTGCATCTTATCTTGTTATTATGAGTGAAGTTGGGCACTTCTCGTATTTTAAAGAATCATATTCTTTCCTTTTTTAAGAAATCTCTGATGCTGTCTTTTCTCCATTTTTCTGTGGTATTGACAGTCTTTTTCCCATATGGCTTTGTGGTTACTTATGTATCAGGAGAATCAGCCGTTGGTATGTGGTAGCACTTGCAGGTACTTCTCCAAACTAGCTTTATAGTTAAAAATTTTGTGTTGTTATTAATCATAAAAAGCTTTTTAAAGATGTTATATATTTAAACATCTCTTCTTCTTTGGACTCTGGGTTTGTGTCACACTTTAAAAGACCTTCTGGGCCTCCCTGGTGGCACAAGGGGTTAAGCACCACACTATGAAGCAATCCACAGCCTCTTTTCAGCACAAGTTTGATCCTCAGCCAGCCAGGGAACTACCCACATAGCATAGCAGACCTCTCCTGTCTCCCCCGCTGCTCCCCTCAGCAGTGTATTTTCAGTCAGTCTGCCTGTTCTGTTCCCCACTCTGTCTCTGGTGAATCCTCTCACCCCCCGCATCTCTGGCCTGTTCCCCAGCTCTTGTAAGCATAAATAAAATAAATCTTAAACAACAACAACAAAAAAAAAACTTGCTCTGAGATTATTTTCTTCTAACACTTCTGTTTCCTTTTTTTTTTTTTTTTAATTTAAATCCGTTAGCCATTGAGAATTCATTTTATACAGCCTGAGGTTAGGATTTGTCTTTGTTCTTTTATTCTAAGAACCATCACTTCACTCAGTGATGTGAGATGCCACCATTAGCACATACTGAGTACTGAGCTCTTCTGGATCTAGCTCTAGATTTTCTGTTGGGTTTCAAGATATTGTCTATTCATTCCTGTTTAATTATTGGACAGTCATAATTTCTAATATATATTAGAGAAGCTCCCTCCTTCAGTGTGCCCTCTCCATTATAAAGTAATAGCTGTCACCTCCCTGTTGGTTCCCATCATCACTGGGATTGAGTTGGGAAGCAAATCTGTGATTCCCAAATGGCCTCTGAGGAAGGAAACCTGTCTATAAACTAACTCAGGAGAGTAGAAAAAGCAAAAGCTTTGGAGTCACTTTACTATTTACTAACAGGGTGACTTTCCAAGCCTTATGTCATTGGGGACAACCAGGCGGCAGAGTTAACGTGAGATTTACCGTGCCATGTAGGAGGGATTTGGCATGTTGTTCCTGTATCTATTTTTCTTAACATTCCAACACTAACATACACTCAGCTCTAAATATTACTGAAATCCTCATTTTAGCAGAGGTGGCATCACAGGGTGGGAAGAGCAGACTTGGGAGTGAGACTAGCCTGGGTACCAGTAGCTCTTCCGCACTCCAGTTCTGGGGAGAACTAGGAAGCTGCCATTACTACTTGTGAGCTTTGCTCAAGTCCTCATATCTTTCTGTGCCTTCTCAAAATAGGAACACTAGTTCTTTCCTTCTGAGTTCTTGTTCTTGTGAGGATTATACGAGGCGGTGCATTTAAGTGCCAAGGATTCAGATGGAATTCAGTAAGTGTTAGTGTTGTTAGTACACAGAGGGGTGTAAAGGGCTTAGTCAGCACCAGCACCCGTCTGCCTCCCATCACGGGCACCTCAAGAAGACGCAGGAGGGGCTTTTTGTGGGCATCAGTTACTGACCACCATGGATGAAAAAAGGGAGGGTATCTACCCTCCAGTTCCTACCCATTACCAGCTGCCCTGTATATCCTCAAACAAGAAAGCCCCTGCCCTCAGAGCCCACCAGTCCTGGGCATGCTGTTCACCGTCTGTGAGCAGTAGGCTCCTCAATGCTCTGCCTTCATGCTTTGTACCTACATGAGGCTTCTCTTTTTCAAAGAGCACAGGGAGCTCCTAGCTAGGTTTTCTTTTGCAAAAATTTGACATCAAGTCCTGCCAACCCCCTGTAGTATCTCACTGACCATGACAGAAATCTCAGTCCTGTAGGGAGAGACTCTGAAATGGGTGTTTAGAAGGCTACAGACTTGGGGATGCCAGCCACTGTCAACACCAGTGCCTCTCCCCCATCCCTGTGCCGGTCCTCCACCAGTCTTCCCAGTGTTTTCAAAACTGATCCCAAAATCTAAAAATTAGGAAGCCATCATGCCTTATACTGAGGGACATGAGAAGCAGAGAGACAGAGGCTAGAGAGGGGAGTCTTGCCTGTTACACAAAAGCATTTGGTTATTGCGCCCGTGAATAGCATGTTTAAATGGATGATTCAGAAATTCACTCAGAGCTAATGTTGTGAATGGATTGGAGGGACCAAGCCTGGAAGCAAAGAGGTTACCGCTGTGGTCCTGGTGAGAAGTAGCAGGGCTTTAGGGCAGTAGGCCAAAGAGAAGGTAGGAATCAGGAGTTCTTTGAAAATGGAAATCAATAAAACTTAGATGTTGGGATAAATGGCAGGCAGAGGTTATAAAAACTGCTTTTGAACTTGAAAGAATGCATGAGTAGCTTCCCCCCATCTTTCTCCTTTTCCCCACCCCTTGACTAGATTCTGGTCTCAACTTAAAGGTCACCTTCTCAGAGACCTGCCTGGATCACCCTGTCCACACTGGAAAGTCCACCCCAACCCTGCCATACCGTATCACTGCACTGTGTTTATTTCCTTTACACCACTTCATCACAATGTTGTAGTTATTATGTCTCCACCATTAGACTGTAGCTCCATAGGGGTGGATCAGGTCCGTCTGTTTCATCATTTTATCCCTGTTGAATGGGTGGCTGGATGGATGGATGAAGACCAAGGAAGGAGAGACAGCATGAATAGGTCGCAGCCAGCAGCTGGAAGTGTGCGTCAGAGCTCCTGAAGCTGCAGGCTGCAGCTCTGCGGGCTGTCGCTATAGTCAGACCCTGACAACGAACTGAGAGCGCCCAGGCAGGGGTCAAGACAAAAGCCCCTTGCAGAGAAGCCCGCAGATTCCTTCCTTCCTTCCCAGACACACTGCATCAGAATCTCAGGGAGTGGAGCCCAGGTCCTTGCATGCCCCATGAGGTTGGAGAGCTCGGCGGGGATAGAGGACGGGGGCCGAGACGGTGACTTTGGGCGGCCAGGTCACTGGCGGCTGCGGGGCGCGGAGGCGCGCTGGGCGCGCTGGGCGGCTGGCTTGGACCTTTGGCTGCACTTGGCCGCGCCCGCGCCCCGCCCCTCGCCACGCCTTCCGCTCCCCTCTCCCCGCCCCCACGGCGCCACTCCCGGATTGGCTGCCGCCCCGCCCATCCCCCGGCCTTGGCCAATAGGGCCGGCGCGCGGTGCGCGTCAGAAGCCGGAAGCCGGAAGCGCGGCGGCCGCGGTGGCGACGGGAGCTCCCCCGAGCAGCTGTCGCCCGGCGCCATGCGAGGCCTCGGGCCAAGCCTCCAGGCTCGGCGCCTCTTCCCGCTGCGGCTCCCGCCGCGGCCGTCGCGGCCGCCCGGACCCCGGCTGGCGAGCGGGCGGGCGGCCGGCGCTCTGGAGCGGGCCATGGACGAGCTGCTGCGCCGCGCCGTGCCTCCCACGCCGGCCTACGAGCTGCGCGAGAAGACGCCGGCGCCCGCCGAGGGCCAGTGCGCGGACTTCGTGAGCTTCTACGGCGGCCTGGCCGAGGCGGCCGAACGCGCCGAGCTGCTGGGCCGCCTGGCGCAGGGCTTCGGCGTGGACCACGGCCAGGTGGCCGAGCAGAGCGCGGGCGTGCTCCAGCTACGCCAGCAGCCGCGGGAGGCGGCCGTGCTGCTGCAGGCCGAGGACCGGCTGCGCTACGCCCTGGTGCCGCGCTATCGCGGCCTCTTCCACCACATCAGCAAGCTGGACGGAGGCGTGCGCTTTCTGGTGCGGCTGCGGGCCGACCTGCTCGAGGCGCAGGCCCTCAAGCTGGTGGAGGGTCCGCACGTCCGGGTAAGGCCCCGCCCGGGCCGCTCCCCCCTCCCCCCGACGGCGGGGTCAGCCAGGGCCACGCCCCCACCTTGCCCCAGGGGAGGACCCTCTGCGTCTATCAAGGCCCAAACACTCCCTCTTCCCCAGCCCGACGCTATGCCCCCCGAAACCCTATGTTTTCTGAATCTACCTTGCTGCAGTCCTTACTAGACATGTAGTGTTTGCTAGAAACTTGGCACTTGCCAAGCGTGGTCCATGATGTCTCTTATTTGAGCCAAGAGGTCTCATCTATGTGTGGTATACTTGAGTGAGCTCCGAACTCAGTCAGCCAGCCTTCTGAAAACCTGGAGGGCGTGTGACATAGTCCTAAGAAGTCCTATAATGTGCAGAAAGACAAATCACCAGTGGCCACTGTGTATGGGTCCGGATGCCTTCAAGTTTTCTTTGCCACAGAACTTTGAGCAGTTCGCTTTCCTAAGTTAAACCCTAAAATGATTCTAAGTTGACTTCTTGTACTAAGCCAGATGCTTAGTACAAGTGAGCTCACGTTGAATGCAAGTGTATATATACTTTGAGATTTAAATAATGAGCACTTGATGGCTGATAGTTGAATATGGTCCTTTCATACTGTTGGTTTTGAATATGGAGAGGAGTGACTTGCCCTTTTAGTGGGGGGGGGGGGGAGATGTAAATGTTTCAGATGGTAACATTTGTAGGTGCTTAAAAAAATTCACCAGTGGGATGATGAGGTCCCAATTCATTTATGAACTACTAACACTGGCATGATAGTTTTTAATGTTCATTGCCTCACCCTTAGATGCATGGCATACATGTCCCCTTTTACAGTAAAGGAAACTGGTAGTGAGGTTGTGTGACTTGACCAAGAACTCAGGGCAAATAGTTATGTGTTCAATCACCCATGCAAACCCAGTGTTCTTTGCACTATATTTTATGTCCCCGTCCTACTGTGTGAATTATGGTGTTGGTCAGAAACTGTTTTGACTACTTAGTCTTAGAAGCATAAACATTGGCTATAGTTAAAGGTGGGGTTTATCTCAGTGGTAGCAGTAGTATGACTTGATTGCTCTTGATAGCTGGTTAACCTTCAATGCTAAGCATTACACAGAGCCATAATCTGAATTCACCATGCTCCGGCTCAGGCCCAGTCTGAATGGCTGGTTTGTGTGCTCTATATACCGCCTGCATTCCCAAGTCAGCCAAAGGTCCCTCCAATTCCTCTCGAGGGAGAGTTGGCTTTATCTGCAATCTCAGTAGGCTTTTTTTCCTCGAAGCAGGAGCCACGGCTGCATTGATTGTTATTGCACAGGAGGCTTGAGAATGACATAGAATGCCGCCTCTCCCTGAATGAAGCCATCCATCCATCCATCCATCTGTCCACTCAGCACATGATCTTTGCATGACTGACTTGCACCAGGCATGCTCAGGGTGCCAGCGTCACTTGGTCCAAGAGCAGAAACTTCTGTCTCTGTGGGGAGAATTAGTAGCAGATCTGGTAGGAGATGACTGCTTTTTTGTGTCCTTGCTCATTTCATCCTCATCCTTTCTTAGCCCTAGGAACAGAGGAAGTAGATGACTAAAGCTTGTCCTGGTCAAGTGCAGCTGCCCAGTATACGGAGCTGGGGAGAGCTGCAATCCAGGGCCAGGCTCAGTGACTCCATAGCTCTGTATTTCATCACTCATTACCAGCTCTTGGAGCTGACAGCTTAACTACATCTAAAACGCGTTTATTCTTTTATAACTTGTCTTTTTCTGTAAAGTCAAGGGCAAGCTAAAACAACCCAGCTAACTAATGGCTTTGTGTTACCTACTTTCAGTGAATCAAGTATTTAATAGCCTTTATTTGTGACAGTTTCCTCCTCCTGAGGTGCAGCGTGAGCTTCCATCTTAGCAGTGGTCTGGAACGTCCCAGGAATGCTCATCACACCTCACATGGCTGGCAGTGTGGCATTTAGTGTCTCTCCTTGAGCGTTTTTGGTGTAGAGTCAACTGTCCTGGGTGACAGTTCCAGCTTGGGAATATCCATTACTCCCTTCCACCGACCCTCCTGCCTAGCCAAGTCGGCTCTTGGATAGAAAGTTCCTGAACCCAGAGCTAATGGGGAGGCCTGTTAAAAGGGCTACCTCCGCTTCTGCTCATTCACTCTACTTTGCCTACCACTCTAGCTTCAAGTAGTCTCCCCCAGGTTCCAGCATCTTGGCACGTGTTATTGTCTACCCCCTCACTAGAATTCCATGCATTAGCCCCAGGATGAGCTTTTGGAGCATTTTACTCCCAACCCCACCGTATCCCGCCCCCAACTAAATGAACAGCTCGAATGAAGAGTGCCCCACCAGATGACCAAGTCCGAGTGGGCACACTGACCATTCCCATTTGTCTGGACATCACACAGCTCCACTCTGAGTTCTGAGCCTGGCAGGATGCCCAGAAGGTTTCTGCCTGCCAAGAGAGACAGCAGACATTTGGATTGCCCCTGGCTGGTGTCACCCTGTGCCTGGGACAGCCCGACATACAAATACACTACCCAGACTGGCCCCTGCCAACCTCTGGACTTGAAAGAGAAGGTCAAGTGAACATGCAGTGCTTCACAGGAGAGTGACTGGGGACTTGGGCCTGTGCATTTCTCCAGGCCAGTCCAATCCACGTGCCCATTACAAGTTCTTGCTGAGTCCTCTAGGGCTCAAGTAACTGGCAAGTGGGAGGCCACAAACAGATGTCTTAGAGGACAGGAGCAGCAGAAGCAGCAGCAGTGGAGAGGGAAGGCCCTAATGCCCAGTACTGTCTTTGCCATCCATTGAGACTGTCCTGAATGCCACCCATTGCTGTGGCTTTAGAGGGTACTAGCCAAGTCACTTAACCCTTGGGCCAGTTGGCTCTGTGCTAGAGGTGAGACTGTGGTCAGTATGTTGAAGGTCAGCCTGCTTCTGAGAAATGCACTGAGGGATATGGTGAAGCTTTGCTACCTACACAGTTTACAAATGTGGGCACCGATCGTGAAGACCTTGCTCTTAGATCAGGGATGGTGATTATCAGAAGCCTGGAAAGAATCCAGGAGACTGACATTTCTGTCTTGCGTGCAGCCGTGCATGAATACCAAACACGGGTGCCCAGACAGGGCTGATTTGCTTTCCTTTGATGTTTTTAATCAGATAAGGTTTCTTTTCTCTCTAGTGGGGCATGCTTAATCCTTTTCATAGGAAGTTTAGAGTCAATAACAAGTCTTTTGCTGGGAAGATACTAGTGCTTTCATGGAAGAAGGTTTTACAGACTGGCAAAGGTCACAGATCTGTGCTGTTTCTCAAGGTAGCAGGTCCCACATGTGGGGAGGATGGGTATTTGCCCCACAGTGAGTTCAAAGGTCAGCAGAAGCCTAAGTCTGTTAGAGCCCAGCCTGGGGCTTTTGCACCCATACTGAGTCTACACTCGCATGGTATGGCCTCTTGATGTCATTTTCAGAACTCTGAATTACTATACGTAAATTGATCTTAAGGAACTTTTTCCAGGAAGCAATTTTAGCTGGTTCCATAATTAAAGAATTAGTAGAAAAGGCACTGGTCAATATCCCTACCTTCTGTGATTAGAAACTGCCAGGGTTTTAAACAGTCCTGTTGGTTACCAGATAGTGTTCTTGTTGCAAAACATGCTCTTTTCCTCTGTCAGAGTTCCAAGTGAGTGAAGAGGCTTGGTCCTGGCATGGGTGTGTGACCCTCGGTGGAAGTCCCATTCTGCGTGTTCTTTTCTGAGACAGATGCCAGGGCTTTGTGCTCAGAGGGGCAGGTTCAAATCCACCTGGCAATCTCAATCGCTATCGCTCCATACTCCTTCCTGTCTTCAGCTTTCTGCTTAAACATGGGGTGCAGGAAAGGAATGTAAGAGGTGGCTGCTAACCTTGGCAGACTCCCGCCAAGTGCCTTGTCTTTAGCAGAACAGAATGCATGCCAACTGGCGCTCCCCGAATCAAATGCCCTGTTACCCAGCTTCACCTGTGGGCTATGTGTGTGAGTGTGGGCCTGAATGTAGGGGTGGGGGTGTTATATGCTTTTTGTTTTTTTTTGTTTTTTCAAAGACCCATAGAGGTGGAAGAGTTTGATTTTTTTTTCCAGACAAGATCCCCATGAAATGGAGCTGAGTCTCCATTGTGGGAGAAGGTCGGAGCACAGATCAGCAGTTTGTGGGTGATGGAAGGAAGTTGGCATTTAGAGAATGGGAGGGTCTGCTGGGAGGTGGGATATGGAAATGGGGGGTGTGGGGGCCTAGACAGCAGCATGGGTGGTACTGCACACAAGGGACAAACACGGGGCCCGTCCACTCCATTTGATTCCCAGCCATGCCAGATGCTTTATTGTGTGGCCTCTTTGGTGGACTTGTCCTGATTTTAAGTGAGAGTAGCAGGCATTGCTTCTACTAAATTCTGTGCTTAGCTTCTCTGTTGTTAGCGTCTGCCCTGGTCCCCTGAGGGCCGAGGGCTGCAGTGAATGGGAATGGGACTGAAATGCCTTCGCTTCAGCACTGTCAGCCCCTCCGCTGGCTTTCAGGGCCCCTGGACAATGAAGAGAGCTTTTTCTTCACATACCAGAAGCAAGGAGACCTGGAGAGCCCCAAACTTCAGAAGGGACCGAGGGAGCTAGCTGTTTCTCTGTTCAGAGGGCAAGCTGGCCGGCCTTCTCAGCTGTTATCCGAGATGGGTGCAGTGCACGGGACGGAAAAAGCTGAACGAATGCGGACTCCAGTGCCGCCGGCACCCCAGCAGTGGCGTTTCTGAGGCTTGGGCTGTTGGTAAATGACCGCGTGAACGCACAGCTTTTTGCTTTCTGTTCCTCCTGTTCCTGGTGGCCCGGCAGCGTGTTGCCTGGGTGGTTGATATTGGCCGGACAGCTGTGGTCCCGGTGGGCTAAGCAGTGGAGACTGCTAACCTTTCACCTGGATTCCCTCTTCCCTGCACCAGCATATAGTTTAGAGCAGCCAGCAGTCCGGAATAGAATGAAGAGACATTTAGAGGGAGAGTTTTCACCAGCCAAAGGGTTTCTTTCATGATCAGTACTAAAACTAGATAGTTATGGCTTTTTCCTGTTTCCTGAATGTAATGGAGATGCCAGAGCATGGAACTTGGCTGGTTGGCATTTTTCCAGGGAGAGGATCCCTGGTTGTTAGCACATGCTCAAGAGTGTGTGAGGCCCCCAGGAAGACCAGGAACCACTGTGGTCAAGCGCAATCAATAGTTTCATAAAGAGCAGGTTCTGTTGCCTAGCAAATGACAGCTCTGCCCCTCCCTTCCTGCCCCTCCCCTGTTCCCTTCTCCTAATGCTTTTCTTTTTCAGTTGCTACCAATTTATCAACCACTTTCCACAGGGACCGCCCCCCTCCCCTTCTGTGCTTTGGGCACTAGAGGAATGAATCAGAAATGACTTCTGCCCTTACAGAGTGTAGAGCCAGGCAAAGGACACTAGATGCTTATGGAATCGAAGGTTAAAGGAATTGCCGCGGTCATCTGGTACAGCTGCCTTTCTTCAGGCGGCACCGCCAAGTCCTGTGGACCTGCGCTCACTTGGCACCCAGTGAGGTCGCTCCTCCAGGAGACATCTGGGCAGCCCCAGCCAGTCATAAGTCCTTCTTTACAGTGAGTTCTGTCAAAGTCAGACTACCTGTGACTTCCCCCAGTTGATCCTAGTTTTATTTCCCTCATGGAATCCCACAGAACAAATTTGTAGCCTCTTCTGTGCTCCAGGCCTTAAGTATTTAAATTTAATTCTCTTTGAAGTATTTAAATTGAGATTTCACTTCATTCTAAAGCCTTTTCTGAGCCACAAACCCATAACTGCAACTTACCCTTCAGTGACAAAGTCTTGAGACCTTTTACCAGGGATTAAAATGTGAAATGATGCTGTGACATTTTTACAACTCCACTCTTAGTTATCGGAGTTATCCATCAGGGTCTCTGGAATCTTAGACAAAGATTCATAAGGTCAGTCCTATACCAGATGTTTACCGTTACTCAATTCAGTGTATCTGTTAGTATGTGATTTGTCTATGAGTAACACAGACCCAAAATAAGTGATTTGAGTAACAGAATTTATCTCATGGAAAAGTTTGCAGCGAGGCCACTGAGGACTGATTCTGCTCTGCAGTGCCCTCAGTTGACCCGACTTCCATCCTGTTGCTCTCCCTCGAAAAACCTTCATTCTCCAAATTACCTCATGGCCCAGAACGACTGCTTTAGGTCTAGCCATCACACCTCCTTCCAGCTGAATGGAAGGACAAAGAAAAAGATGGGTGCAAAGAACACACTGCTTCCAGGCTTTAAGGACACAGCTGTTTCAGGACAGCTCTGCTAATGTCTGGCTACCCTGTGATCCGGGTCTGCTGCCTGGGGCCTCCCCTCTGCTCTGACGCTCGGGTCACTGCTGTTACATGGTCAGCGGGGTCACCGTCAGCTAAACCCCGATGGTTCTGCTCCAACACACACGCCTCTTGCTTTTCTTGCCTCAGAGGGCTCTGTGCAAGTGTATTTTGGAATAGTAATCCTTTTAGAAAGTAATGAAGTTATTGTGAGGTGAATTAGAAGAGATTCATCAAACCTAAATGCACTGATTGCCAGATTCACTAGTAACGTAAGTCCCGAGAAGGGAGGGGAAAAATGGTACCAGTGAAACTGACCCGCCATCCTTTCAGAGGTGCCCCTTGACTCCAGAAGTGTGAAAATACGTTCCTTAGAGAAATAGGGGACCTGGATCCAGTGCTTGTTTCTCTTAGGAAACAAGGAATAAGGTTTGGCAAATCGAATGTTCCTGAGAGGAGGACTTGAGCTCGGTGTTCTTGTCCTTTGCGATAGGCCATGCCGCGTGATGCCAGCTTTGAATTTCCAGTTGGGTGCACTAGGTGAACAAGTACGGATGCGGTATTTGACTTGAGCAACTCGGTCCCCATGGAACACTCATGCAGACGGCTTGAGGTTGAAGTGGTTGTGCTCAAAAGGTTGAACTCGGTCTTCATGTGGGGGAAGAACTCAGTTGCACAGACTCAGAAAGAGGCGGCTGGAGAATCTTCTGGCAGTCTTCTGTGCTGGGTTCATTGCATTCACTGTGCTGGAGGCGGGCCGAGGTGGGTGGCATTCTCTCTTGGGGAGGCCCACAACTGTCTCTTGTCCTTGCAGGAAATGAATGGAGTGCTGAAAGGCATGCTGTCCGAATGGTTCTCCTCTGGCTTCCTGACCCTGGAGCGAGTCACCTGGCATTCACCCTGTGAAGTGCTACAGAAAATCAGCGAGTAAGTTGCTGGCTTCCCTTTTTCCTATTTTCCCCTGAAAGCCAATCTCCATTCTTATGTACACTTTATCTGGAGCTTGATAAAGCCCAGACAAGGGCTTCACAGCTGTGGTGGTTGTCCAGGCAAGTGAATCCCGGATCACTGAGTGGACAAGGGCACAGAGACATTTCTGTCCCCAGTAAGTGTGGGCATTCGTTTCTGATCTCATTTTAAATGTGGGGCCTCTATTCTACCTCATATTAAATTTGGGGTCTCATTTCTGTCCTCATTAAATATAGGGTCTCATTTCAAATGCACAGGCCCACTTTTTCCCAAGACTCATTAGTAGAGCTGTATGAAGTCACTGGACCAAGTTTTTGCATTAGTAATTCATTCAGGTAGCAGCTAACTAGATGAGCTAGCTGCTAAACTTTCTCCCTTGGATAAAATCCCTAAAATTGCTGCGTTATTTATAACAGCTGAGACATGGAGGCAGCCTAAGTCCCTATCCGCAGAGGGTTGGAGGAAGATGTGGTATGTATTACTCACAGTGGAATGTGATTCAGCTATAAGAAAAGATGAAATGTTGCCATTTGCAGCAAAAGGGAAGGAACTTGAGGGGTTTATGCAAAGTGAAGTCAGAAAGACAAAGGCTGGATGATTTCACTCATGTGGGTAATAGTAAGGAAACAAAGTGGCTGAACTGACAAAGAAAAATTGAAGTCAAGTAGAGGACCCTGATAATCCAGCTGAGATTTCCAGAGGTGACAAGGCAGGAGAGAAGAGTTAAGGGTAAGAGGGATGGTGGTGGCTACTTTGCTTTTGTTTTTTTTTTTTTTTTTTTTTTTTTCCTTAAAAAAAAAAAAAATTGTGTGTCCAGGGCCTTTCCTACCTTTATGAATGAAAGACGTTGTCTTGGGTCCTCTACCACTCCTGAGCCAGTCCAGCTCCTTCTTTGGAAATTTTGTTATAAAGAAATCTGTCAGTTCTTATAATCCAGAAGTTCTTATAGATGACAGGAAAATCTATCTTTTCCTTTCTCTTTCCTCAGCCCATGTTTGGCTTTTTCCCATGTGACTCATAAAGGGCCCTGAACCAGCCTTACACCTAGCCCAAGGCAGAGGAAAGGAGACTGGGGGGGGGGGGGAGGAGTGTGAAAGCAGGTCAAGTGAAGAGCTGCCGCATCGAGAACCTAAAAGCCTTGGGAAGGACCCACAGTCCTTTATATTTCCTCCAGAAGGCTACATCTCTGGTAGAGAAAGGTTAATGCATTTGAATTGAATGAAGCAGTTGAGCACAGGCCTATTATTGATTAGTTCTTGTCATACTGAATCCTCCCAGTGAAGCAATGGAAACAAAGATAACTGGGTCCATTTCACAGATTTGGAAGCTGAGGCTGAGAGAAAAGCTAAGTAATTTTGTTAAGGCTGCTCAGCCAGCAGGACCAGAATTAAAACTTGGACTGCCTAGAAAATTAAAAAAAAAACCCAACCCTAATAGTGCCATGCACAGTGAGATACCCCTGGGGTGCCAGGCTTGTCCTCACCCTCAGACTCTCTTTCCACCACTTCTCTCTTCCACCTCCTGCCGTCCACATTGTCTCGTGGGGTGGAGGTGTTTGGTGCTGTCCTGTGTGCTGTGTGAGGGCCGAGCGCCTGCCGTGGCCCATGCTGAGGACACAGTGCTTGGGTGAGGCCACCAGATCCCGCAGGTGTTTGCCTCTTTGGCTCCACACCCAGAGATCCAGCAGGACGAGAGACAGGGTGTCCCAAATCCACTGGGCGCTGAGAATCAGAGCACAGTTTTGTGTAAAATGGTCATTAATTTCTTCTCAAAGTCAGTGGTGTTTCACATTAAAGTGATATTCTCTGAATTTTCCTGAAGTGGCCACTGAAGCTGATTTCGAGGACTTTCTCTGCATTAGTGAATGGCTCCAAGGAAACGCCGCAGGCGTGGGACTGACTGGACGTGTCTCCCTCTAACCCCCTGGCAGGGCAGAGGCTGTGCACCCGGTGAAGAGCTGGATGGACATGAAGCAGCGCGTGGGGCCCTACAGGAGGTGCTACTTCTTCTCCCACTGCTCAGCCCTGGGGGAGCCCCTGGTGGTCCTGCACGTGGCGCTGACCAGTGATATCTCCAGCAACATCCAGGTACAGAGTGGGGCTTCAGGACACCACGAGCGTTCCAGGGCCCCTTAAGTGGTTTCACCTTGGCTGAACCCCTTCTTGAAAGATCGATTGTGTTAGGCTTGTGCAGATGTGGGAACTGGCTGGATAAAATCTCCAACTTGGTAGCTGCAGACTTGGAAGGAGAGAGCACTTGTCTCTGCTGGCTTCTAGCTGAGGAGTGGTTGAGTTGCTGCACAACACTTTTGTGAGGTGAAAAGAACCAGAAAGGCCCTGTGTTCCACTTTGCAGCATTTGTTTAATGTATGGGGGAATTTTTTTTAAGATTTATTTGTTTATGCATACAAGAGCTGGGGTACAGGCCAGAGGCATGGGGGGTGAGAGGATTCACCAGAGACAGAGCTGGGGACAGAACAGGCAGACAGACCGAAAGCACTGCTAAGGGGAGCAGCGGGCGAGACAGGAGAGGTCTGCCGTGCCATGTGGGAATCTCCCTGGCCCGCCGGGAATCGAACCACACTCTGCAGAGGCTGCAGACAGCTTCACGGCGCTGCGCTCAACCTGCTGCACCACTGGGGAGACCTCTTGGGGGGAATTTAAAAGACTCATGATTGAGAAATTTTAGAAAGGGCCCAGGTTATATGCCAGCTGGACCCAGAGCCCTGCAGTTGGGGCATGGGTGCCCCACCCGCCTCTGGCCAGCATCGCTTCTCATTCCAGGGCTGGCCTGGGGATGGATAAGCCAGTGCCACCAGTTCTGGGCCTGGGATTGGGGGCACAGGCCAGGAAACATAAGGACAGGTGAGGGGGAGCAAGACCCCACAGCCAGTGAGGGAGGGCTGCCAACCCAATAAGCCATTGGGAGGTTGGAGAGATGAAGATATGACAGGCCCCTGGGAGTGCTGTGGGGAGAGGACAGACACGCAGCGTGTCCTCCATCAGAAGGTCACCAGAAGAGCCATGGAGTCAAGGTTCTGGGCCTTTGTTCTTGGTCACAGGGAGAGCTTGCTGGTGCAGGGGTATTTCACACTCAGAGCTACTGAGCCTCTCGGAGGGCACTTGGGCAACATCTACTAACACAGAAAAGATGCCTTCCTCTTGCTGTAAAAATTGCACTGTGAGGACTTTGTCCCGGGAGAGGCTCCAAACTGAGAGCAGACTGTCACACACTGCGCAGGCTCCCGTTTCTGGAGCTGGAAATACTAAAGGGCGCCCGGGAGCTTCTGCCCTGGATTGCTCTCACACACCTAAATGTAGAGGCAGCTTAGGATTTTGACATCATCAAACTTCTGGATATTGTAGGGGAGCAGGTTGATCAAGTGTCAGTTTATACCAAGGCATGAAAAAGAGGAAAGGGATATAAATTGCTGTTCAACAAAGAATCTCAAAGGGAGGGAAAGGATCCACACAGGGACAAACCCTGGGGTTCTGGAGAGGTTTCCAAACAGAACAGAGGCCAGGAGATCCATCTTCATCACCGTGACCTCAAGTCCAGGGTCCCGGGGGGCAGAGGAGAGCTCATGGCCCAGAAAGGAGGGTGAAGTGCAGCTGTGGGCACGTCCACGCCTCTCACCTGGTGGTGAATGTCCTCCAGGCAATAGTGAAGGAGTCCCCTCCGTCCGAGAGCGAAGAGAAGAACAGAATCGCAGCGGCCGTGTTCTACTCCATCAACCTCACCCAGCCAGGCCTGCAGGGCGTGGAGCTGGGCACCTTCCTCATAAAGCGGGTGGTGAAGGAACTGCAGGTGAGTGATGGGGCACCCCTGCCAACCATCTCAGGGGTGGGGTGAGGTGCTTCCCAGGAACCCTGGGACCGCTCAGGAGCTGGAACCAGTGCCAAAGACAGTCCCAGTTCTGGCTGTTCCTGTGGCCTCCAGATGCAGTGTGTGCCAGGGGCCTCTCTCCAGAGGACCCTGTTGTGGTTTTCCCATGTTGTCCTGGCATAAGTGTGAGGCATGGTCCCGCCATTCTCTTTGTTGCCCTGGGGAAAACTTCGGCCCTCCTGCAACAAAAGTGTTTGCTCTGGGTGTAGGCCTTTTATTTTTTTCTCCTAAGGAGTGTCATTGAATAGAGTGAGTAGAATCTAAGATCAGGTAAAATCATCAGACTGCACAGCCACCCCCACCACCCCGAGAGCCCGGCGCTCCACTTTGCGTGGTTTCAGCATGGACAGCGCCGCAGAAGCTCTGCCAGGGGAATGGCAGCTGGAGTGGGGGTTCTAGTATTGGCTGCTCCCTATTAAATTCGTAATCAACTCTTCAACCGGGGATCTCAGGGTTCGGTTGGGAGTCGGCTTCATTGCAGTGACTTTTCCCGGAGGTGGGGAAGAGCGTGTCTGATGCATGCCCGCCGCTGCTTTCTCCGTTGCAGCTTCTTTGCTGAAGGTGTACATGAACGGGCAGGGAGGGTGTAGGAGGGTAAGAAAGCCCCTCACAGGAAGGGCAGGCCCTGGTCAGGGCAGCCCACCCACAGGCTCTGGTTCTGGACCAGTCAGAGCAGGTCCCGCTCCCGCAGCCAACCTGAGGGCACACGGCAGGAAGTCACGAGCGGGGATCTGGAAGGAAGCCGAGTGCTCCCTGCCCCAGGGCGCCGGTGGGTTTTGTAGAACCCGAGCCGGAGAGCCGCCCTCGTGAGAAGAACACGGGGAGGTCACGTTCTGTTGTTAAAAGCGTTGGCCTTGAATTTTGAATGATGATGAGAAAAGGCGCATGACACGGGTCATAAAGCGTGACACGGGTCATAAAGCAGGGAACCCACTCACGCGTTGCTGAGCAACGACTGATGAGGAAGTGGACTTTACCAAACTACGGAAAGTAGGAGAAGCGTGCGGAGTGTGGAGGTTTTCTTTGCTTCCATCACACATTTTCCAAAAAAAAAAAAATCTCTAGTAAGTATCTATTATGTGTATAGTCAGAAAATACTGTGGTTTTGGAAATGAACATTGAGTTCTCTCTGTAATTAGTGATGGTGGCACCGTATTGACGGATGTGGAGAAATACCTGTCTCTACCCCTCTATCCTCTCCTCTGCACCCCCTGTGGTATATAGCTGGGCAGCTGATTATTTATTCAACAAACCGTCACTGGGTACATGAGTGCCAAGCATGAAACCAGGTTCTGTGGCCACAGAGAAGCCCATGAGAGAGGCACGGTGGGCCAGAAGGACCAGGTCTGCGGTCAGAGGCTGCATACCAAGTGCCCCCTGGAAGCAGTGCCTCTGACTGAGGGGGCAGTGGTGCAGACGGAGACACCTTGTAAAGGCGGGCCTGGGAGACTCGAGGTGTCTCCAGGGCCTGGCACCCATGAGGCCCTTAATAAATGCCCCCTGCAGGAAGAAAACCCTGAACTCAATTGTCACTCTGCAAATCATAGCAGCTGAGGCTGCTGAGGCTGAGGAGACAGGTGGGAAACACAGAGGTTTCCTGGGCTGGTGACGGGCCTGCTGAATTTGTGTGTTGTCTCTACCTTCCTTTCCTACCCCACCCCTGCCTTACAGAAAGAGTTTCCTCACCTGGGGGCATTTTCCAGTCTGTCTCCTATACCTGGATTCACCAAGTGGCTTCTGGGGCTCCTGAGCACGCAGGCCAAGGAGCCAGGGAAGAGCGAGCTGCTCACAGAGCCAGAGTGCAGGGACATCTCCGAGCTTACGGGCGGGCCCGCCCACGAGACCCTCAAAGGCCTGCTCAGCAGCAGTGACTGGGCGAAGTCTGAGAAGCTGGTCAGGGCACTCCAGGCCCCCTTGATGAGGCTCTGTGCCTGGTACCTGTATGGAGAGAAGCACCGGGGCTACGCCCTGAACCCCGTGGCCAACTTCCACCTACAGAATGGGGCCGTCATGTGGCGCCTCAACTGGATGGCCGACACCAGCCTCAAGGGCATCACCGGCTCCTGTGGCCTGATGGTGAACTACCGGTACTTCCTGGAGGAGACGGCCACCAACAGCACCGCCTACCTGGGCTCCAAGAACATCAAAGCTTCTGAGCAGGTGCTCAGCCTGGTGGCCCAGTTTCAGAAGAACAGCAAGCTTTAAAGCCCACCTTTCCTGAAGCAGGTGCCCCGGCCCAGAAAGGAGTCATACTCTACATGGGTAGGGCGCGGGAGGGCCTGTACCCAAAGGACTCTGCAGCCTCCCACACTGGGAGGCTGTGCCCAGACATAGCTGAGCAAGGTGGTGGTGGGTACAGGTGGACACGGACTGGGCGGAGAGGCGGTGCTCTCTCCAGAAGATTCTGTCTCTGCCTTCGGCCTGGCTCCCTGCCCAGGTTGGTGCTGTAGCACCGCTGCCTTTAGAAAGCCCTAGTGTCTGTGGGCCATGGTCCCAGGGTGGGTCCACCAGCCTCACAAGGACCTGGTGGCCGGTGAGAGCAGATTTTTCCTTTGAACCTAGCACATAGAAGGGTTGGCAGCTCTCTACGTCCACCAGCTAAATCGCCGAGAATCATGAATGTATAAGGGCTTCGTGACTTCAACCATTGAACACAAAGGGTGTTGTTGCTTGGGGCTTCAATAGGGTGACAGACTTTAAAATGACAGTGATTCAAGTTCATAATGAACTTAATGCTAAAGAACAAGTTTGTTCTGTGACTCATTAAACGTGGTTATTTAAGGTCGTGTGGCTTTGTCTTTAAAATCCAGACCTGAGCTGGGACCTGTGCTGCAACATCAGCTGTGCCCTTGGTCCCCGGCCAGCCTGCTGGCGTGTCAGGGGCTCTGTGGAGAGGGCCGGGGTGTGGCAAGAGAGCAAAGATGGAGCAGCGGTGATGGCTGTGTTGTGGCAGGAAGGTGTGTGTGCTCGTGGGCACGCATGTCTGTGTGTCTGCCTGTCTCGCCTCGCAGGGGGTGTTCAGTGCTCTCAGCTAGGTGAGCGAGGTGCTCCCCATTGTGCTTTTCGTCTGCCAGACCTGTCCGTCCCCTGATCTCTGTCGTCTTCTGCCTGTGACTTGTTGCCTGAGAACAGTGTGCCGGGGCCACCACTAGAAATTCTGCTCTTTGTGAATCCTGCTGCAAGCTGACCGAGGCCCCTGGCCCTGCTCTGGGCTCATCTGAAGGTCCTTGAGCTCCAGGGCTCCGCACAGGCCTAACACTACTGCCCTGAGGAGGAGCACGGCTGCTCCTCAGGGTCAGCTGCCTGTGGCAGCAGCTGCTGGTCCCCACTTTAAAATGTCTGGTCTCTACATTTACCCACTTAATACAAAACTTTCAAGCCAAATACACAGAAGTAGAGAAGAGTATAATGAACCCGTATAGCTGTCACCCAGCTTCCACAGTCATCAGGAAGTTTCCCTTTTTGTCAAACCTTATCACTTCTTACAGTATCTCACATGTACTAGGGTGCTTCATGAAGCCCGATGGGTGGTGGATGGATAAGTGGATGGATGGATGAATGGACGGACGGATGGGTCTCTCTTCTCGATGCCTCAGTCCAAATCACTGAAGGGAAAGCATCTGTGACACCTCCAGGATACTGCATTGAGCCAAAACCCCATCTCCTCATGTTACAGGAAACCCCTCATCGTTTTCTGCTCCCCCCACCCCATGGATCCTGCCCCCACCCCCACCCCGAGCCCCTCACTTCACACTCCATATCTGGACACCCTCTTGTTCTGAAATACCGAGTGACATATTGGTTGAGGCCACTGGCTTTGTCTCCGACTATTGCCCTGTTCCCCTGCAGGGGGGAATCCCAGTGCCCCACTTCCCAGCTGGGTGGCCTGAAGGAAGGCACCCACCCTTACTTTACCTCCCTCCTCCACCCCACCCCCACCCCTCCACCACCCCCACCCCCGCACCCCCGCAAAGCACACCATTGCTGTCTTTACTACAGACACCTACACATTGTAGTGTGGGGACCGCTGTGGATTAGGGACCGCCCTGTACTCACCCTGGGCGGGTTCTGGGACCAGCATCCCCTTATTTGGAAACCAGAGAGTCTGCTTTCTGGCTTCTGTCCACAGCCTCTCCTGCTCTGTCTTTACTCCTCTCCCCTTCGCCTTCTCCCTGCTCTGTCTTTTTTCCTACCGCACCTCCCTTTCTCTTCGTAGTTCTGCCCTCCTGGGCATGGAGGTGGTCCCGACTCCTGACGAGGGACTGCTTTCTCTGTGTTCTGTTTAAATCAGGGGGAGCCCTAACATTTGTGCAGGCATCAGCTGATTCTGGGCTTTGTTTGAATTGAGCAGAAGTAATTCTAAATTTAAACGGAGTGAGCCTCCTTTTAATTGGATTCTGAGGCTGGCCAGTGAATCCAGAATCAATACGAAGTCCATTTTGATTTATTCTTAGAAACAGAAGCAGCCCAGGGATTTCTATCCACCACAATTATTTGTAGCTTAGTAAAATGGGTAGAGGTAACCCTAGGTCTCTTTCTTGCCTTTTGCTTTGTGGATTTTTTTTTTTTTTTTTCAAATTGCATTTGCAGTTTTCTGGAAAGGAGAACTAGCCTTCCTCTCAGCTCTGGTCCATAGGTCACGCCCCTCCTAACCCTGCAGCCTGAGTGAGTGCTTCTGCTCACAGCTGGAGAAGGCCTCGGAGGGCTGAGCAGCTGTGAGGCTGGAACCTGGCCCAGGTCTGACAGTCTCCATGTTCCTTCAGCCTGACCTGCCTCCTGTCCACGCATCCCCCCAGGCAGTCACAGAGAGGGCCCCAGTGCTGGCCCTGGCCTGAGCAGGGGGCACAGCAAGAGGAGCCTGGATGGGTACATCCTGATAAAGCCCGACCAGGGTCAGGGCCTGGGAAGAAGCATCCAGTGCCTCTCAGATCCCAGCTGCTCCAGCAGGTGGGCATGGGAACAAAAGCGTTTCCACTAGAGGTGGAGCCTGAGAGACCTGCCTGGGACTGGGCCTGCCGCCTACCTGGGCGCCACCTCCACTGTTTGTTCTAGACACAATCTCTGCCTCTCAGCCTCTTCTGTCTTACTGGAGCTGGCTCCCGCCTGCCCACCTGCCTCCACAGACTCAGCCCTGGCCAGGGCAGTCCTGTGAGCTACGATCCGTGATCCAGCTAGAGGCGTGAACCCCTCTTGAGGCAGCTCCGCCACTTTCCTGGCGATGGGCCACTGAGGAATGGCCGGAGTCCTTTCTCAGAGGGAGGGAGGGGTGGCCTGGCCCACAGAACACCAGTCCTGATAGTGTCTGTGGGCTATAGCCCCTGGCTGGTCCTTTCCAAGAAGGTTGATGAGTCCACTCCCACCACACGTCCCACACAGGGTTTTGTCTTTGCTGGCTTTGGCAGGAAGGAGGGGAGAGCAGAGAGCCGCCTGGCCAGACTCCACTGTCACTTAGATGGACTTAGACTTCCAGCTGCCCCCAGAGGGAGTGTCGCAGCACTCACCCCATTTCCTGCAGGCTGGAGTCTCCCCCATTCCCTGCCAGCTTGGCCAGACCCCAGGCACCTACCTCTAAGGGGCTCAATCTAGGAGGTGCTCCGGGAAGGGGCAGAACTGTGGGCGTCCTGATGGCTGCGTGCCCTACACCTCATCCCCTTACTTTTGCCCCGCCCCCCACTTCGAGGCCTGGCCCCAGGAGCCCTCCTCCCCCCAGAGGACCTCATCCCCGCCCACATCTCTACCTGACACCTACTCACGGATGACCATAGGGACTGTCCCTGCTGGCTGGGACAGTCCCTCAGTGCCTGGTTTGGACAGTCACTTCTCAGGTTGCCCCACGAGTGATGTTCAGTGTGGAGACAAGGCGACTCGCCTTCACACTGTCCACCACCAGGGCTCCCCTTGTCTCCAGCAGCTCAGGTTCCCAGGAGCCAAGGCTGCACACACAGTGCTTTCCCCCCAGAACCAGGCCCTCAGCCCACGGAGGCCACCCAGCTTCCAGCTGTGACCCAGCCGGAAGCTCCTCACCCACGCCCACTAGACCAGCCTCTTCCCTCTCCCCTGGTCTCAGGTAAGACGGTCTGCCTGCAAGTCCCCTCTGGACCCCAAGTCCTCCCCAGCCAGCCAGTTAACACTTAGAGTTGCAGATCAGACCCTCTCACCTCTGGAGTCCTCCCCGCTCCCCACACACAGCCTTCCCCATGGTGGCCTCCCCAGGCTGCGTCCCTGACCCTCCTCTGGTTTTCCAGACCTCCCCAGCCCTCTTCCCTACCCCACCTCTGTCAGCTCCTGGATCTCACCATGCTTGCTTCCCCTGCCCTCCTAAAAGTGCTCTTCACCCCCTTCCAAGAACCCCAGTCTTCTTCCATATCCTCCCAACTCCCTTCCTCAGGAAGCTCTGGCCTCCCTGATAGGCCCCATTGTTTGTGCTCCTGACCTTCTGGTAGCTTCTCAGAAGGTATTTTACCTGTGCCTGTGAGGTGTGTGTAAGTGTGAAGTGTGTGTGCATGTGTGTGAGTATGTTCCCTAGACAGAGGCTCCCCGAGCACAGGGTCCCTGCTTGGGTTTTGTCCCCGTAGGGCACAGCCCCTGGCACACACTGGGCTGCAGTTTGCACAGGAACCCGAGGGCCACCTCTCCGTGCACAGGCTCTGCTGCTGTGACCTTGCATGCCACCTGGTGAGCTTTGCCGAGTCCTAAGCCCCACAGCTGCTTCCAGGCTGGTCATTCTGACTTGGCTCTCTCCCCACACAGAGGAGGGGTGCTGTGTGAGTATGGGGCACCCCCTACCAATATACAGGTCTCCACTGCTTCTAAATTCAGTTCCCTCCCAGGAACTGTAATCCCAGCTGCCCTGGACTGGACACCGTTCCACACAGGCATGGTCGGAGTGGAGGCTTGCTTGAGCTCACAGAGACCTGCAGAGCGCCCTTCCCCAACTGATAGTGGAGATGCAGGTGCAGAGAGTTGGGGGCACCGGCTGCACGACAACCTGAGACTGTCGGGGACCATCCCTTGCAACACAAAAAGGGAATTTAGAAAGATCCACTTCCTTAGCCCTCCTCTCACCTCTCCCGAGCCAGACAGTGTCCCCATATGTCCCCCAGACAGTGTGGGGCTGCCCGCCCACCGGACTGTGAACACAGCTGCAATTCCAGTTCCCACCCAGTGACACTGTCCTGCGGGGTCAGGACTCCTGATGCTCAAAATGCTTTCAACAGCGTCGCACACACTGCCCACCACTGGCCACTAGATGGCAGTGTTGCCTCTTTCCCAAGCTTGGGAGCCACTGGCTCTAAGTTCTTTTTTTTTTTTTTTAAGATTTATTTATTTAAATAAATAAACAGAGGTGTGGGGGGTGAGAGGATTCACCAGAGACAGAGTGGGGGAACAGAACAGGTAGATCGACTGAAATACACTGCTGAGGGGAGCAGCGGGCAAGTCATGTGGGTCACCTCCCTGGCAGGGGATCGAACTTGTGCTGTAGAGGCTGCGGTAAGCTTCATAGGTTGCGTCTTAACCCCTTGCACCACCAGGGAGGCCCTGGCTGTAAATTCTTAATAGGCCAGAAGCCCAAATGCCACAAACCCTGAGCCACAGCCAGCACAGCTGGGCCCTCCTCTCTCCCGGCCAAGTAACAGCACTCAGGGTCACTCAGAGCCATGAGTGCATGAAGCTTCTCCGCACGCTCTTCCTGGCCACCACTCAGAGCTGGCCGGGCAGGAATGGAGCCACATATCTGAGGGCCCTGCTGTAGTCCCCCATATGGAGCTCTGTTCGGGCTCTTTGGATCAGGTTTGGAGCCCAGATCTCAAATCCCCCTTAACTTAGGGCCCTGGGCCCCAAATCATTCATTTGGTAACCATGATTTTTTGTGTTATTGCCATAAATAAAAACTCAGTGTTTCTTGCCAATGAGTATTTCTTATCAATATAAGAGTGAAAATAATACAACAGTAAGTATGAATTTCTAGTTATATAGGGTTATCTTCTCTTAAAAAAAAAAAAAAAAAAGAGGAGGGGCCTCCCCAGTGGTGCAGAGAGTTGAGCGCAGCACTTTGAAGCTGTCTGCAGCCTCTGCAGCACTGGTTCGATTCCCGGCCGGCCAAGGAGATACCCACATGGCAGGGCAGACCTCTCATGTCTTGCCTACTGCTCCCCTCAGCAGTGTACTTTGGTCCTTCTGCCTGTTCTGCTCCCCGCACTGTCTCTGGTGAATCCTCTCACCCCACCACCATGCTTCTGGCCTGTACCCCAGTGCTTGTATAAATAAATAAAATCTTTAAAAAAAAAAAAAAAAAAAAGAGGAAAGTCTCCGTTAGGGAGCGTGACAGATGGGCTGAGCACTGGATAGATGCACAGACGCTTTCCTCAAAGACTCTAAGTATCCCACAGGGACTTTGGAAAGATTGAGGGCTGCGAAAGGATTCAGTGAGATGATTCTCTGTCCAAGAGCCACCAGACACGCACACCTCAGGGAGGGAGAGGCCTGCAGGACTCTCTGGACACAGTGAACGTTTCCCACAGGCATAACCCGGTGGGCTCCTCAGTGGTGATGTCTACCGGGAGGACATGCCAGGAGGACAGCAGCCAGGACAGCTGCATGCAGGCATGACCCAGAACTCGGCTTCTGGCCCCAGGAACTGGCCTCGGTGGCT